CGTTGAGGAAAACATGAAGGCGGCTCAGAGTTTAGAGAAGGCTTACTACGATAAGTTGTCCCGGAAGCGCACGTTCAACATCGGCGACCAGGTAATGCTGCTACCACAGTGTAAAAAGAACAAAATGGACATGCAGTGGGAAGGGCCAGCTAAAGTAATGTCCAAGCTTTCAGATACAAACTACGAGGTAAAACTGGGCCGAAAGAAAGGTAAGGTTTATCACAGTAATTTAATGAAGCCTTACATCCAGCGCCATGCCGTGGTTAACAAGACACTGAATGCGGCGAACGAAGTGGAGACCGACCTCTTAAGTTTTCCACGTGAAAGCGATGCGCCAGCTAACAGGCTCGTACAGCTTATTGCCGAAGAACAAAGTCTCACGGAGAGTCCGCGTGATGATCTCACGAAAGTAGTTAGAGACTACGCAGGCGTGTTTTGCGACAGACCAGGGAAAACCTCTTTGGTAGAGCATGACATTCAGTTATCAAGTGAAGAACCGATCTCTAGCAAGGCTTACAGCGTATCGTCGAGGCAAAGGGAAATCATGGAAGCCGAGATCCGCCGCATGTGTGACTTGGGGGTCATCATTCCAGGTGAAAGCGATTACACCTCCCCACTCATACTAGTCGAGGTTCCGGGAAAAGACCCTAGGCCATGCGTGGACTACCGCCGGCTAAATAAGATCACTTTAGATCAGACATATCCGATACCTAATATCGAGGAGAGATTAGAAACCATGGCAAAATCCACATATATCTCCCTCTTAGATCTGGTACGGGGATACTGGCAGGTCCCGTTGACGGAGCGAGCCTCTCGTTATGCCGCATTCATTTCCCCATTGGGAACATTTCGCCCTTTAATGCTTGCTTTCGGCTTAAAGAATGCTCCTTACTGCTTCTCAAACTTCATGGATCGGGTGTTGCGGGGTTTAGGAGATTTCGCCCTGCCGTATCTCGATGATGTGGCGATCTTCTCTGATACGTGGGTCGAGCATGTGACTCACTTGAGGACCGTTCTGGCTCGACTACGTGATGCAGGCCTCACCGTGAGAGCGCAGAAATGCCACTTAGGATGCGCAAGCGTAAGTTATCTCGGCCACATCGTGGGTCGTGGCCAGCGTAGCCCGTCCGAGCTGAAAGTTGCGGCCGTTTTAGAGTATCGTCGTCCCACCACAAAGTCGAAATTGAGGGCGTTTTTGGGACTGGCGGGGTATTATCAACACTACGTCAAAGGTTACTCAAACCTCGCTAGTCCGCTGATGGACTATCTCCGCAAAACCAAGCCCACCGTCATTTCGTGGGAGACAAGAAAAGAGAATGCTTTCAAGAGCCTGAAGAGCGCTCTCGCAAAACGACCCGTGCTAGCGGCGCCGGACTTTTTTCAGAGTTTTATTATTGAGTGTGATGCCAGTGACCGCGGCCTAGGAGCAGTTTTGTGCCAAAAGGACATCGAAGGGCACGAGCGGCCAGTTTTGTATCTCAGCAGAAAGCTCAGTGTCAGAGAGGAAGCTTACAGCATTTCAGAAAAAGAGTGCGCCTGCCTTGTTTGGGCAATTGGTAAGCTAGTATGTTACGTCTCAGGGTCGAGCTTCATAGTAGAAACTGATCACTGCCCCTTGACTTGGTTGCACAACATGTCGTCTAAAAGCGGTCGCTTACTTAGGTGGAGCTTGACGCTTCAGCACCATAACTTTAGTGTGCGCTATAAGAAAGGGAAGCTGCACACAAATGCAGATGGTCTCAGCAGAGCTTATTGAAGTGCAGCCCAGCTCCCTCATACAAGTTGAGGCACATCCTTCTGGTTTGACGTGTTTTGCATACTTTTGGTGTCTCTTCTTTCGTTTTGCTTTAAACTGTATCAACAATGTCGCATTGCACTAACAGATTTATTTTTGCTTGAAGTGTACTCTGATATGTTAGCAGGAAGGCCAGCCTCTACCATTCTGGTAAAATTGTTCCAAAAAAAATTGCACAGAATTGTTTTTGGGCTGCTTCAGCGGGTTCCGACCTACTCTTATGGCATTGAGGATAGTTTCGCGTGGCCTTTCTTGGCATCGGGACTGCGCAGTGTAATCACAGCATTCGTGAGGGCCAGTGTTTTGAGGTCTCTAAGGGATACGTTTCTCGTGCTAAAACGTACAATAGTAGAGAGTCAATAGATCTCTTTGCTGCCTTGGTCTGGCACTATGAGAGACGTTCAGAGGGTGCTTGCTTCCACGAAAGTGGTTTGGCTTTGCGTTCAACTCCGTCGTTTCAGTGATTCCCTGCAGGGCTCTGAAGATCACCACGGAGTGGCTACAGTATCGACGGTCAACCAGCATCCCTCCTTCCGAGCCGCCCTATACGGCTCAAAACTCCGGATGCATTGTCTGGCGGTGGGGGTGCTGTTGTGCCACAGACATGTTCCTCGTTCGGGAGCACGTCTCACGAGATCGAGCGCTGTTCCGACGAACTGTCGCCCCCCTCCTAGCGCCGCCTTCCGTGCAGAACAACCGTGCAGTTCCGGGGATAACGTCGCTTCCTCCGCCGAACCACCTTGCAGTTCCGGGTATGGCTACGTCTCCCCCTCCGAGCCCGAGAACTGGTCTGAGAGAATGGACCAAAGACGTTATTTAAGGCCGAGCCGGCCCCATGTTAGAGGATTTTGCCCCAGCCGACGTTGTCGTGCTGGCCGGCTCTGTACCAACGACAACCTGCCACAGTAAACGCTCCTTCTTATTGCTGTTTTCAAAACGGATTGCCTCCCTGCTTCGCCTTCCGACAAAGGCTTCAGCGAAGTCCGCTCGACGGCTCACCGCTCTTCGCCACCGCTACCATCGCGACACAGCAAATTCCTAACACTATCTAGCCACCTACGTCTGGGTGCTCTCGTAATTGCCCCCTTAACTTGCAGTGAACCAAAATTAGTATGGGAGCGTAAGATGGTTTGACGAATATGACTTGCTGGTTATGACATGAAGAATGTGACCATTTCATTGCGTCTGTCGTCGAACTCTTCCCGCCAGACACATGTGACACATACCTGTATACACGGGCGGGTATGTGCCACGGGTGATAGACAATTTATGTCTACCTAGGAACGGCGGGAAGAGGCACTGGTAATTTTATTGAGACTGTGTTAAGGAAAAAGCTCACATCGGCCTCGTTGACCTGACGAATGCACAAAACATATACCAGGGCACCAGCAGGAATCGAACCCAAGCATTCTACGTGGCAATCAAGTATTCTACTATAGATCTACTCCAGGTCTCGATACCACTTTGCAACAAGACACTATTAAGGCGTAATGTTGATGAAACATCAATTTAGGTTGCAATGCCGACTATCCAATTTTATAAACGCTACATACGTACTCCCATAATATGGCTATCCCATCTGGTTAACATCAATTGTAGTTAAGCACCATCCACTGAAGTTGATTCATGTAGCAGTGACCAGGGCTACCATCCTCGCGACCACAAGCCCTACATGTCAGCTTACCGCTTTTGCTGTTGCTAACACTCATGTTGCTATTGGCATCGTTATGCAATTGTAAACAACCGGTTATACAAAACATTATTTAAAAGTTTAACTGCACTTACACAAACAAGAACAAGGAAAGTAAAGAACAGCACGTGGACAGCATGTGTTCTTCGAATCGCCTTAGCATGCATTAGCATAGGCTGGTCAGCACAATTTGTGTGTGTGCCGTCTTAATGGCATTGCAGCCAAAATGGTATGATGTTCTGAACCTCAGTCAACTAAGGCTCAGCAGGCCTTGCTGCATCGCCATGTTTTGTTGACAACATACTATTGATCGGCTGACTGAAGATGAGGTGAACAGCAGAGATGAAGGGAATGCGGGCTCAAGAACTTAAAAAGCGCTTTTATAGCTATTAGGTGAACTCGGACGATAAAACAAGTCGAGGTATAGTATTGAATGGATGGTCAAGACTTTGAATACACATGTAGCTGAAAATTTTTGAAAAGCGTTTCACGACCCCTTTAATACTTTATCCTTTGTTCACATGTTTTCAATCAATAAGTGGAAGTACTTAATGGATCATGTTTGATTGACTTCCAAATACCTGGTATAAAAATCTGATTACGAATGAGTTAAGAACGTGCACGTTGACTACCCGTTTGAATAGCATATATATGATGCAAGTTGCCATCACAAGACAGCCTGGACAAAACTAAGATTACAAAATTCCAAATAAATGTAAAACACCTTGGAGGGCCAGTAAACAGGCTCGAACTTTTTTTTTTACAGTGACCCATGGTGAACACAATTTGCGAATATTACAGACCTACACGCCTCACATACCCTCCATTGCAAAAAACCATTTTTACGCCTCTTTCCTATGGCTATCTAATCCTCCTCATACCCACAGTGACAAAATCTTGCCTATGGACGTTTCGTACCCCTGAGCTCATCCATCCGTCTCTTGCACAACAAAAGGGCACTTTGGCTTTACCTTGATGTAGTCTTGGCCATGAAGACTGCATTTTAATTTTCTTACCCTGCCCTATGCCACTGTGTAGAACTCTGAGACTACAGGAACAAGCGTTTACATTTTACAAAACAAAAGCCTCGAAATGAAGAGGCATCTTGCTACTTTACCGCTAGGGGAAAGGTACATGCCTCCCCAGTGCCTGGTACTCCTCGCACCGTGACGACACATGCGCACGTGGAGGAAGCCTTGTTCAGTCATTGGTGGTGCGCCAATGACATAATTGCAGACGTTGTGTTATGTTGATGACGTGGGTGTTGTCACGACAAATGGCTATGCCTACCTATCTACACAGCGAGAAAAGGGGGCGAAGGACAAGCAAAAAAACATAACCAGCTGAAGTGGGTCGTTCTAGACCCTGTAACTTCCTTTTTTCAGCACTTATTTGCAAAGTTATTGCGGCAGCATTTTCCAATAGTTCAAATGTGCAGTTATTTCTCCAATAGAAATTTTGGACCTAGGGTTGTTTACTGGACCTTTAAACTATGTATCACACACACTTTCCTACCTCTTCCCTCCTGGGCTGCCCTTTTACAGCAAAGGTTGACATGCTGAAACATAGAAAAAAAAAGGAGGGGGGATCATTTTTGTAGCTGTAGCAATACACCAACAGCAAATGCATCTGCTAGCAAGTGATTCAACCATTAGTAAATGTTGTAAAATAGTCCAGCACGTGCGTGCGGGACTAATTTACAATATTCACCAATGGTTGAATGCACACGTGTAAACACACAGGCATACACACAGGGTGCCCTACCTATTTTTAGCAAATGTTTAATAATGTGACAAGTCACTCTATGACGACGCCGCAAAATTCATGTTCCTTACTACTGCATGCAGTAAGTAACAGTTTATTGTTTCCCACTTCATTGCCTAATTAGGCACATTTAATTAAACTTTTGAAGCAATCAAACTAATAAAAGATGCTATGCATAAAGTTGAACATCTGTTTGCAAAATGTCCTAATAAACAGTTTATCACTTTATATCTGTGAATTATTATTGTTTTTCTGCTTACTACAGATGTCCATGCAATACAAAAACATAGCACGTGACATGCCCACTTATGCACCTAGGTGCACCGTGATCGCAGAGCTCGCGAACATTCTGCATGAAAACAATATGCTTCTCTCGCGATTATTTAAGACAGTGATAAGCAGACACTGTAGTTACTGCTTGTGTTGCCACTAGCAAAATACGCATCATCACACAGTCAACATAATCGTCACTGTCTTGTCAAAGCAGCGCACCTGGCCAAGTGCTATCGTTTGCATGCCGGACGTTAGAGAGCACTTCACTTACGGCATGCATAAACGTGCAAGTGGGCTTGTCACGTGAGCTTTTAAGTGCGATGCATTTTAGGGTGCCAGGCTGTTGTATGCTGTAATCATATGTTGTCGTCATCAATTGGCATAACACAGACAAAACCACATATAGCACAGCCAGCTGTAGCATATTGACTGCGCGCTCACACCAAAGAGAAATATTTTTCTTCTTGTTCTTTGAGCGCCTTGATGATGATATTAACTGCAGAGCAATTGAGCAGCCCGGCCTGTCGAATGCTGTCGTCGCTTGGCGTAGTACAGGCAAAACCACGCATAAGCTGAAGCAAGCGAGAAATGGGGACAGAAAAAAAGCAATAGAAAAAATAGAAATAAAGTAGAAATATACAAGAAAAACTGAAAAGAAGAGCAATAAGGAAAAATAAAACTGCAACTAAATGAACAAGGCCGCCCAGCTTCGCACTTTTTTCTGTCTTGGCACCACTAGGGCAAAGCTGCCTTAACTTGTCTTTAGCATTTCATGAAATTCTGTAGTAAGCAAAAATAAATAAATACAATACACAACAGATATAAAGTTAGAAACTGTGTAATAGGATGCTTTGCAAGTCAATGTACAACCTTCTCATTGGAATTTTTCACCCAGCTTTGCTGCCAGAAAATTAAATTAGTTAATTAAAATGCCTAATTATACAGAAACATATATATATATATATATATGGGATATGGCACAACGGGAGCGTTGTCAACAAGGATAAATATATTTATTACCCAACAGTTTCGGGAGGGGTCCTCTTTTCATCAGGGGATGAGTTATACTAACATGAACTTCCAAACTTCGTTGCTGCCGCATCCCTCTTGCCTTGAAAGATGTTTGCGAGAGTGAGAGAGAACTAAAAAAAGAAAGAAAAAAAGAGAAGAAAAAGACGAAAAGAAAAACAAAGAAAAAAAGAAAAAGAAAAAAGAAAGAAAGTAAAAAAGAGGAAGAACCACTGTCAACACTGAGACGAAACCAAATGTCCGTGTACGTCCACATCCGGTGCTTATTCCGTGCTGGTCAGTTCTGGACGATAAGAACCGGATGTGGACGTACACGGACATTTGGTTTCGTTTTCAGTGTTGACAGTGGTTCTTCCTCTTTTTTTACTTTCTTTCTTTTTTGTTTTTCTTTTTTTTTTCTTTGTTTTTCTTTTCGTCTTTTTTCTTCTCTTTTTTTTTTCTTTCTTTCATTCTTTCTTTTTTTAGTTCTCTCTCACTCTCGCAAACATCTTTCAAGGCGAGAGGGACGCGGCAGCAACGAAGTTTGGAAGTTCATGTTAGTATAATTCATCCCCTGATGAAGGGAGGACCCCTCCCGAAACTGTTGGGAAATAAATATATTTATCCTTGTTGACAACGCTCCCGTTGTGCCATATCCCATACCTTCACAAAGACTAACTGGTCCATTGAATTATTACTCCCACTATATATATATATATATATATATATATATATATATATATATATATATATATATATATATATATACACACACACACACATACACACACACACTTCTGGTGGTGGTCTAGCAAGCTGGGCGATTTTGACATACATAGCTAGGGCATTTTCCAGCAAAAACACTACATATGAGTCCGTCTTAAATCTAGTGAAGTACGCTGAACTCCGACCAATGCTCAAGTGGACAGTAAAAAATAATCAGTTTATTTACGCTGCCGCTGAAGCGATGGTACAATGGACTGAATGAGGCTGGTAGTGTTTTTGAAGTAGCTAATTACTTTTAGAGGCAATGCTGGTAGTTAAGTTTTCCTGTATAATGAGGCATAAAACAGCATCACGATGACTGCAAAAGGATGTTTGCAATGTTTCTTTGCTTTGTTACAACCCAAGAAAAGCATGTAAGCTCCTCTCACAGAAATGACATGCAACTTCCCTTCACTTTCAAAAGACAGTCATGCTAGCTTGGCTAATATAAATACTATGCATATTAGGACTTACACATTCTTTGTTATTACATAAAAGAATATGTTTAGCGAAGCAGTAATGCCAGAATCCCTGATGAAATTTGCAGTTCATTCAAATTTCAGACATAAGAACAGTGATGCAAACTTGTGTTTGAATGGGAAAGTCAACTATCAACTATGAGAGTAAACTATGATACAACTATGAGACCTGCTTGATGTCATGACAAGAGGTAAACACTATTCAATGGAGAATTTCTTGAAATACTCTTTGTGTCAGGGACAGTGATAGCTGTGGGCAGAGCTGACATTTTTTCTTTGATTGTAACAGACCTATATTTTGCTAGATTAATAAAAAGACATCTTCTGAAAATACGGATCAGTAAAATTTAATGGCTCGACTTTTTAAGGGCAGGGGTACAGGGAAGTAGGCCAGAAGTAAGTTTTGAGGGGTGAAAGTGATTTTGAACTTTCTAGCTACACCACTTTAGGAGACGGTGTACTAAGCTAATCACTTTTGGAGATACTGTCACATGATTTCACATGACCATCGGTAGCACATCTACATGTAAAAACATTTGACACTAATAAACTTGCACCTGCTGAATTTTAGACCGACCCGGTAGACACTGTACTGAATGCCGGTCCATACTCGAGACTGGCCATCACTGGCCATATTTTTGGTCACCTTATCGAAACTATTAAATGCAAAGCATTTATTTGCGTACTGCAAACACTTTTGATGTCTGTCTGCGTCTGTCTGTCTGGCCACCTACGTCTGGGTGCTCTCATGATCGCCCCCTTAACTTGGGGTACACCAAAATTAATACGGGAGGGTAAGATGGTTAGATGAATCCGACTCGTTGGTCATGACATGAATAATGTCACAATCTCGTCACATATATCATCAAACACTTTCCAAGAAAACGCCAGGCCTACGCTGAAGGCGCAGCACAGTCACAGCAAAAGCTAGAAGAGCAGCCTTTCCGAGCCTTTTCAAAACACTCATTGGGTAACTACTGCAAGCACACTTGCTTGATACCCACTAGGGCATTAATAATAAATTTTTTGGGCAGTAGGCCGGCATTTGCTATGCTATTTTTCATCATTCTTTTGAGAAGCATGGTATCCGCTAAACACTTGCAAGAAATTTTGTGCCAATTGTTCATGCAGTAGCTGACGACGATGAGGAATTATGGCTGAAGTGGGTATGCACCACAGTTAATAGGGGAACTAGAACAAGCTTTTGTAATGGGTTGGTAATTGTGCAACGACTGGTTGTTCTATCGCTTTTTTTCAAACGCTTTATAAGTTTTATTAACACGATTGCTTTCCCAACATCAAGCCTGCCTAAGGCAATTTTGCCAACAAGTCACAAGCACCAGCATGGCTCAGTGGTAGAATACTGGGCTGGTGCTCAGCGGACCCGGGTTCCAGCCGCACTGTGTCATTGGTGCTAAATTTTTTTTTCCAATTTAGTGCAATGTGGTCACAACTGCGCGTGACCCGAATTGTGATCTCATCACAGATTTCGCTGTAAAAACAGTGGCACATACCTGGGGGTGGGTATGTGCCTATAGTATATGGGTATGTGCCACAGGTGATACACATTTTATATCTACTCAGGAACACCGAGCGTCAAGAAAAATCTGCCGTAGGCAGCGTCGACCGGAGGAATGCAAACAATAAATGTCAGTGCCCCAGCAGGAATCGAACCCTAGAATTCTGCATGCAATGAAGTATTCTACCACAGAGCCATGCCAGGCCTCAAGTGTACTTTTCAAATGAACCATAATGTTCGTGTAAGGTCAATTGTGGTTGCAGTACTGGCTATCCAATTTTATAAACATTACATATGTACTCCTATAATACAGCCATCATGTCGGGTAAACGTGAATTTTAGTTAGGCACCATCCGCTGAAGTTGATTTGTGTAGCAGTGTAGCACGCACCAGCACAAACACCAGTGCTTCATATCAGCTTACCGCTTCTGGTGTTGCTAATATCCATTATGCTGTTGAATTCATTATGCAACTATAAACAACTGCTAATATAAAACATATGCGGCTTTTTAACGTACGTGTGGGCGTGAATTTGTACATATATTTAGCAGCACTTCATAACGTCTCACTCAATAAAAAATAAAGCACAATCGCCATCCATTCGCATGCTTCACATAAGGTCGATTCCCAAGATACGTGGGAACTGGCTAAATTTTTATTCTTCTTTTTCTTTGCATTTTACAAGTGGAAATTCAACAACTTCTTTAAAGGGGCCTTGCGACACAAATTAAGTGTATTGTTTTCCTCAAT